ACACAAAACGAGTTTTTAACAGCTTTTATGTGTACCGACAGAAAGATCATGAAAGAAATTAAAGCTAAAGAAGAGGAAGTGGTTAGGGTGGTTAGGGGTGTTTTGTTGTGTTAAAAGGGAGAAAACATTGTGTGAAGGAGGAAAGAAGGAAAAAGGCGACAATTCCAGACACCCCTTTGAGATTAATCTTGATCTGCGGTTGATTCAGTGTGTTTGGGTGGAAATGGGTGGATGGATACTGAACCTCAGGCAGGAGCTGCAGGATGGCGGTGGACAACAATGTTCCAATGGACAGAGCGATGAAATAGACGAGTATTCTGCGCATGAACCGCGTCCTCATCAGGGGCGCCACAAACACACCAGTCAAAGCGAACGCACTAACCAGAGTCACACTCAAAACTGAGTAACCCCACACTGCAGGACACACACACACACACACACAACCTTTAATTACATGACATTACACTCCAGCAGACACATCCCACAACTTTTGTGTGCATGGATTATAATGTAGACTTCAATCCGGCAGCACTGCTTTGTTACCATTTAACCCAGTCGGACTGGAATCCCTGGAAATACATGATATCTGTCATAAACACACTCCTGAATGGACACGCATGCAGTTTGAGAGAAAATGTCATTATGTGGGAGTGATCCGCGCCAGGTGCGTGTGTGTACAGATCATATATAAGCTGGCTTTCTCCAAAACCACAGAGCTGCATTTGTTTACAGCTGAGAACAGATGTCAGCACTTTACCTACAGAGGAAGAAAATCATTCGTCAAAACACAGATACATTTAGGAAATATATTTCTTTCATATAACAAGGACTCATAACCAACAGTAATAAAAATATTTGACATTGAGTGTGCTTTCATCTACAACAACACAATGATAACACACTTCCTCATTTACTTCAACGTCTTAGGGACTTTTTTCCCCCGGAGACTGTTACAACACACTACTTTTTTTTATATATATCTTTTTTTATTACTCTAAAGCTCCTTTGGGACAGCGTGTACTGTAAGCAACATACAAATACACCTTAATAAATCACACATAAGCTCATTAGAAAAACCCAAATCTCAAGAAAACCATGAGATTTTGAAATTGTCTGAATTTATGGGTGAGGTAAAAACTTCAATAGATCAGAGAACTGGGCTTTTTCCCTATACTATGATCCGATAAAATACACTGTTTACGCATTTAAATGACCTTACATACTGTCAGCTTATTAATAATAATCAGTGCACATGTAAACACACTCATTGAGGCGGATTTCAAAGTTATTTAAAGGAATAGTTCACTCAAAAATGACAATTCTGTCATTATTTACTCACCCTCATGTCGTCTGAAGACAGTTTTTCCTATTAATTACCTAGACTGGGGTGGCCCATCTAATCTGTACCTCTACAGTTTCATTATAAACTGCAAAAAGTTTCATTATAAACTGATTTTTTTTTTGTTTTTTTGTTTTTTTGTTTTGCGGCATTGCTTTGGCAAAGCATCTATTCATTTTGACTAAAATCAAAATATTTTTTCCAGAAAAATTAAACGAATAATAATAATAATAATAAAAGCTTACCAAAAAATAAAAGCATAGTAAATTTACTACTGTAAAGAAAAATAACTAATATATTTAACGGGGAAGTCGTGGCCTAATGGTTAGAGAGTCGGACTCGTAACCCAAAGGTTGCGGGTTCGAGTCTCATACCGGCAGGGATTGTAGGTGGGGGGAGTGAATGTACAGCGCTCTCTCCCACCTTCAATACCATGACTGAGGTGCCCTTGAGCAAGGCACTGAACCCCCAACTGCTCCCCGGGTGCCGCAGCATAAATGGCTGCCCACTGCTCCGGGTGTGTGTTCACTGCTGTGTGTGTGCACTAATGCAGAGCACTAATTCCGAGTATGGGTCGCCTCACGTCACTGTAGTGTCTGGACCAATCAAAAACACAATTCTTCATTTGATTACGTTCTTAGAACTGACAAGACAGTTGACCCTGAGAGGTCAAGTAAATATCTACAGCGGATCTAATATTTATAATTAATTATAACTAGTTATGATTAATTATTCATATTTCCCCATGAGCTGATTCGCTACATCACTTTTAAAATTTACTATGAAATATTTACATTTTATTTTACAGTGCAGGTGTATTACAACAATATAATATCAATTAATATAATATTCAAAATGTGTTATGTTTGTTCAACAGAAGAAAGTAAGTCATACAGGTTTGGAACTACATGAGTGTGAGTAAATGACAGACTTTTCATTTTTGGGGTGAACTGTCCTGTTAAGTTATTTACTGTAAAAGCATTCTATGATTGTGCTTTTCTAAGGAACAAAATAAATGTCAAACTATTCTTTAATGTATTTTTTAATGTATTTGTATCTTTTGATTTATTTTTCAGTAATTTAAAGTGTTGTAGTAGAAAGTATAGTACAACAAATACTTTAAATTAACACCTGGAATGTTCCCACAGTTCCCACTGCAGTGGGAAAGGGGAGACAGAACCAAAAAAAAAAAATGAATTGCAATCATGTTGAAGTTGTGGAGCATGCTACAGACAAACTGAGATGTGGTGCTAATGCAAATGATGCTGGTTTGGGTCTAGCCTGCAACCTGTCCTAAATCCTATTCCCTCATCTTTGGTGATCATTTCACATTCATATTACCATCACTGTACCATGGTGCCAGTACAGTGCTTTTTGTTAAGAGCTGAATGGGAAAGACTGCATTGACAACAGGATGCTGTAAGACTCCATCTCTAAAAGCCCGCATTCCCCTTTTCTTTCTCCTTATCTCTTGAATTCCGGTGGGAAGTGGCACTGCGACATTCTCCTTTCATTTCCTCTCCCGCTGCCAGGATGTGCAAGAAATGCCAAAACCCAGAAGTGCCTTGTTTAGCAGATAAAGAACAGCATGATGCAAAGCGACAGGAAATATCACTGAGCCAGAAAACATGCTGCACAGATGTTGAACATGTTGAGTCACAAAGAGTCACAGGCTGATTCAAAACAAGATTTTCAGTGAATAAAAAAATTAATTAAAAAAAAAAAAAAATCCGTTATAGACAGGGCTTGTTTTAAGTTATGGTGAATACAAAAAAAACTGTACAGACCTGAAATGTTTGTATAAATAAAAAAAATCACAGATTATAAAGTGCATGTGAAATTGTTTCCTGTTCTCCAAGTCCATGACTTCTCTCCTGAAATGTCCCAGCAGACTTCACACACGCCCATGAAATTCTCTGAACTCTCCCTGTCTTGCCTTTTTATATCTGTCGCCTACACAAGCGATATTTCAGTTCGGCTTTTGAAAGCACACAGCCTCCCTTCAAATCTCCGGTCTGACCAGAGCACTGTGATTGAATCCAGATGCTGGGATCTGAAATATACATGCTTAGCCATTTTAAAAGTCAAGATGTCTTATTCTGATATGAAAGATTCTTTCAAATTGTCTAAAGTGTTAGCATATATTTGCCTGTGTTCTATCTACGCCTATACAGTGACATCAACTTAAGCCACTCTCAAAATTGCCACTGCATTAGATGTGTCTTAAAATATCATACCAAGGGATATCTTCAAACATGACTCTAGAGCTCTTCTCAGTCTAATTTTTGAGCCATTTTTGCTAGACTATCAACTGGTGATTTTTAAGGATGTATAGTCCTAGAAGAGTAACTACAGCAGTATTTCATAACGTTAACTGTGAGCATGATCCAAAAATGTTTGACTATGTGAAAAGGCATTTCAATATTTTTTTTTTGTATTCATTTTTTTAAAGTACACGACCATTCAAATGTTTGGGGTAAATATCTTTAGTCATAAATCAAAAGTACTTATAATGTTACAAAAAGATTTCCATTTCAAATAAATGCTGTCCTTTCTATTCATCAAAAATCATGAATAAAATGTGTCATGGTTTCCACAAAAATATTAAGCAGCATAACTGTTTTCAACATTGATAACAAGAAGAAAAAATGTTTTGGTCCCACTTTATATTAAGTGTCCCTAATACCTGTGTACTTACATAGTAACTAAATGTGTACGTAGTATGTAACCACAGTGTAAGTACATATTGGTACATAGTATCTACAGCTGTAATATTTCTGTAACTACACACATGTAACAACCCTCAGGATGGTTTGTGTAAGTACAAATGTGTAACAGGACATATATAACTACATTTTGTAACAACAATATGTATAAGAGTAATTGGAACAGTTTGATCCAGGGGGTGGAGATGGGTAGGTTTAGGTGTGGAAATGGGATCCAGGGGGTGGAAATGGGTAGGTTTAGGGATATGTAAAGTGGGAGGAGTTGGATCTCGAGTTGGAGTTGGTGCACCCCTGTAATACCAGTGTACTTACATTGTAACTCCTCAGGAACGGTCCACTTAATATAAAGTGTAACATTCTGGACACCAACCACAATTTATATGTAAAGCCTAACTTACTGGCCGCTGCTGTGTAACAGAGTAATTACATGGTAAATCTAATATAAAGTGTAACACTTTCTTTACCAAAAAGTGCTGTTAGTCCTGTTACACATTTGTACTTTCATTACCAAAAAGTATTGTTACCAAAGTCATGTTACACATTTGTACTTACACATACCATTCAGTGTGTTGTTACATATGTGTAGTTACACAAACATTAGAGCTGTAGATACTATGTACCAATATGTACTTACACTGTGGTTACATACTATGTACACATCTAGTTACTATGTACGTACACAGGTATTAGGGACACTTAATATAAAGTGGGACCAATGTTTCTTGAGCACCAAATCAGCATATTAGAATGATTTTTGAAGAATCATGTAACTCTGAAGACTAAAGTAATGGCTGCTGAAAATTCAGCTTTGGCATAAATTACTTTTTTGTTTACCTACAATCCCTGCCGGTACGAGACTCGAACCCGCAACCTTTGGGTTACAAGTAAGATTCTCTAACCATTAGGCCATGACTTCCCCAAAATGTATTAAAACAGAAAACAGTTATTTTAAATTGCACAATATTTCACAATATCACTGTTTTACTGTATTTTTGATTAAATAAATGCAGCCTTAGTAAGCGACTTCATTCACGTTAAAAAAAATAAAATGTTAACAACCCCAAACTTTTGAATGGTAGCATATAGCTGTTGTGTTATGTGCTTGTGCAATCTTGCTTTTAAAAAATTTAAATAAATAAATGCCACTTGATTTAATGTTTTGTTTTCCATTTCAGTGACCTTTCTACATTTCTCAATGTTCAGAGTTCACTATTCTTATCACACTTTAACTGGAGTTCAAGGCTCAACACAAGAGAACACCTGCACTCTTCTGAACCTCTTAGCCAGAGTTCTGCTGATTCACTGTATTTTTCCTAGAAGCCTAATTTGCTGGCAAAGTCAAAGATTGTCTACAGTGTACAATAGATATGAACTAAACCAGTCTGCTATAAATATGCCAAGACTTTGTACTTTATACTGATAAGGTTTAACAAATGGCATTACCTAGGGACGTGCAATGCATGAGAGTTTGAAGAGAATATTACAAGAACTGTTAATAAGTGTCATAATATTCACAGTGTGCACAAATCTCATTAGAAAGCAGTTAGAAGTAACATATTCCCTTGACACAAGGCCAAAATACGTGGCCACCTGAACGTCACACCCATATTTGATTGTTGAACAATTATTTTTAAAACCATGGCTTGATTGTTCAATGAGGTTTGGGTTTGAAGAGTCAGGCCTTTATGGCCCTTTTGCTTTTTGCATGGGGCAATTGTGCATAAACGGACATAAATCTACCTTAAATGTTTGTTTAAGGAATTTGCACACCTGTATGACTGACTTTACCCTTTTGTCACTATAATAATTATAGCTGAATTAGCCAAATAAGGGTGTACATATCATTTTGGCCATGTAGTATATAATGACAATATAATTGTGGCTGACAATAAAAAATTAAGCATCATCACTAATATTATGCATTGACTGTCAATGGATAGTCAGTCTTACCCTCAGCATCAGTGGGTCTGGGGCTGCTCTCAGACTCTTGGTCCTGCTGGGTCTTGCATGCTTGTGAGTCCAGCTGCTGTATGATTGTAGGGCAGATATCATGCAGGCCACGTTCATCTATACGAGACTGTTCGCTCATCCCATACACTGCCAAAGTGTCTGCAGCCAAGCACTGAGAACAGAGGACAGGACAGAGGTTTCAATTACTGATCACAGAGGAGAAGCTTGAATTACAGCATTGAGAGTGCACAGTTTGTCCTGGAGCACAGGATAGAAACCACAGATTTGACTTTGAGGTCTAACAATGTAATATTTCAAGGTCATACTGAGGATTAGGGTTCATAATGTTGAAAACATATCCTATAATAACTCTCTGAGGAAAGAGGGGGCGGGGGGGAAATCATATACTTCTTAAGCGGTGTTTACAAAAAGCTACATCTTAAGCGAAAATGAATGCATTTTAAATTTGAAATTAGAATCATGAAATAAAAACACAAATTTTGAATAATAAAATATACTCTGGTCATAACATTAAATTTGAATATATATATTTGAAAAACTAAATATTTACAAAAAGGAGTCAGAAAATCTATCATTCACTGAATTTAATGAAAAAGTTAGAACTTAATTTTAGGTCAATTTAGGTCACAACTGTTAAGCTGCCAAAAATAAGTTAAAATCAAACCCAGGAAGCATGTTATTATGTAAAAACTCAAAACATAATCTTAAAGAAACAAAAAGACATGCAGATATCCCACTTGTGGTCCTTGTAAATGTTACACATTTAGGCCTGGTTTCACAGACAGGGCTTAGACTAAGCCAGGATTAGGCCATAGTTCAATTAGGACATTTAGGCCTAAGTAATTTTTATAAACGTGCTTAGAAAAAACATTACTGGTGTGCTTTTTGAGACAAAACAAAGGCACTGATATTATTTTAAGTTTCTTTCAATTGAAACAGCTCAGACTTACATTTTAGTCTAGGACTAGGCTTAGGCCTTGTCTGTGAAAACTTTTAGCATAGCAAATGCTCTCTGTGGAGGAGAAAAAAATAATGACAACTCAATATGGCCTTTTATCGTTGTGGACAAACTGATAAATTACAACATGTTACTCTTGACTTTCTTACACCTTGAGAGGTGGCACAAGAGATAATGCCTCTGATAAAATACTTCATGACGTGAGAACACAACAAATGCTAAACCAAAGACAAATATTTGTGCTTTTGCCAACACTCAGGCAGGTAATATTGTAAAACCAAGAATTTATGCACTACACGGCCACACACATAAACGCTACCATTCAAAAAGTTAGCTGTATTTTTTTTTAAACAAAAGTATTTTTTGTCATTATTTACAAACTTTTATTTAGCACAGATGCATTAAACTAATCAAAAGTGACAGTAAATATTTGCACATTGCTAAAAAAACGTTTAAAAAAGCTAATTTTACTTGAACATCAAATCAGCATATTAGAATGATATCTGAAGGATCACGTGACATTGAAAAAAATACATTTTAAAATATAAAAAAGTTATTTTAATTTGTGATATACAATACTATTGCATTATTGTATTTTTTTTAATCAAATAAATGCAGCCCTGTAGAGCACAAGATTTTAAAAATCTTACCAACCCCAAACTTTTGAACAGTAGTGTAATCTTTGTTTGATTTATTTCATGAACATACTTATTGTACATTTATATCACATACATGTTTTCATCACATACATGTTTTCATCACATTAGTATCGACCAAAGTTTCTACTGTAAATTGCCTGCCTCAATTAGAGATGTTAAGTAAGCCTTCTTGACTTATCTGGCCATATCTATATTTATGACAACTGACAATAATTTTAATCGGTTGATATAAGTAAAATACAGATAATTTATAACATAAATACAGATTATAAAAAGCAGAGTGAGCTACTTTCAGATCAGTCTTTCTGAAAGTCTTTCAGATCAGTAAGTACAGAGGAACTTTTTAACTTGACATAAAGGAGGGCCTTGAGAAATATTTTACACACAATCTAGAAACAGTCTTAGGCTAATGTCCAATGTTTGGATATATAATGTTCACGATAAGGATAACAAAAATGAAATACAATGCAAAACATAAAACAGGTTTACAAAATGCAGTAAAAACAGCGTGGGGAATTTTCTTCCAGTATTTCTAAATGCGTCTTGATTTTCATATTCAAATACATATATGTAAAAGAGGTCATTGTATACTGAACTAGGGTTGGGCGATGTCTACCAAATTGGCATCAGACGATGTCTACAGTGAAACATTGTGATGGACGATGACATCGGGGGCGGGGTTAGGGGTGTGCCCGAAGCGTGAAACAAATAACTGTTATATGGAGCCACTAAAAGGTTAGCCTGTCAACTTAACATCGTGATGTCCGTCAGCCATCTGCGATGGACAATGGCATCGTCTATCGGCCCAACCCTATACTGAACATGTATTCTTGTGTGCAATAAGCAGCCAATCAGAAGCAACAGAGTTCTAACAGCCAGTTAGATGTGTGAAAATATTTCCTGTAAAGTCCCACAACCTGTAAAATCTTCTGTAACTCACCTTAGATGCATTGGTTTTGGTGGGCTGTGTTTGTGCATCATGTTCTCCACTCTGGCCTCCATTTAAGCGCATGAGGAGCGCTCGGAGCTGAGGGACAGAGATGCTGGTGTTGTCGCCATAGCGTGTCAGCAGCTCCTGAAGGACTTGTGTAGGAGACAGTCCATCCTGACCACTAACATCTCCTATTGGCCATTGCAGCAGGCCTAGAGTCAGGGTCAGGCCAATGGTCAAGGTCAGCTGTTTGCAGCCATTGGCTTGTCTCAGGGTCATGACTCGTCCAGCAACACGTCGAGTACTACATATAGAAAGATATGAGATAAGAAAACAAGGTAAATGAATGAAAATTACATCACTGATGTCTTTAGCACACCACATAACCATACACTAAAAAATCTGACTCCATTCGATGTACTTTAAGTACACAAAGTACAGTAGAAGATTTTTGCTTCACAAAATGAAATAGTTAATAATAATAAAAAAGCTAAAAATGACAATAGAAATGAAATGGAAACGTTAATTTCTGTAAGTGCTATGAACTAACCACTGGACAGAATATGGAAATATTCAAGCAGCAAGTGTTATTGTTAACTTAAACAAAAATGTTAAAACAATTAAAAGCTGAAATAAAATAAAATGTAAATGCTAAATGAAAAACAAACAAAAAATTAAAAAAAATGTTGCCTTTGCAACTAACTGAAAAAAAATAAGTACTAAAATGACTAAAACTAAACTGAAATAAAGACAAATGAAGTTAAAAATATTAAAAATATCTAAATATTGAAATAAAAAAAGTTTAATAATTCTAAATATAAATAATTACTATAATATCGTATAATACTAAAATACTTAATATAAAATAATTACATTTCACCATCCAGTTAGGCACATCAACCATAACAGCCAGAAACCTTGGAGTTATGATTGATGATCAATGATCAGCTGACTTTCTCAGACCACATTGCTAAAACTGCCCGGTCCTGCAGATTTGCTTTATTCAACATCAAGAAGATCAGGCCCTTTCTTTCGGAACATGCTTCACAACTCCTCGTTCGAGCTCTTGTTCTGTCCAGGCTGGACTATTGCAATGCTCTCTTGGCAGGTCTTCCAGCCAGTTCTATCAAACCTCTACAATTAATCCAGAACGCAGCGGCAAGATTAATTTTTAACGAGCCGAAAAGAATGCATGTCACACCTCTGTTCATCAATTTGCACTGGCTACCAATAGCTGCTCGCATAAAATTCAAGACATTAATATTTGCCTACAAAACCACCACTGGCTCTGCACCCCTTTACCTAAATTCATTACTTCAGACTTATGTGCCCTCTAGAAGCTTGTGTTCTGCAAGTGAACGTTGCTTTATTGTGCCATCCCAAAGAGGCACAAAATCACTTTCACAGACTTTTAAATTAAATGTTCCCTCCTGGTGGAATGACCTACCCAACTCAGTCTGAGCAGCTGAGTCCTTAGCCATCTTCAAGAATCGGATAAAAACACATCTCTTCCATCTTTATCTGACCCTCTAACTCTAGCACTAATTCTAACTCAATCCGAGCAGCTGAGTCCTTAGCCATCTTCAAGAATCGGCTAAAAACACATCTCTTCCATCTTTATCTGACCCTCTAACTCTAGCACTAATTCTAATTCTATTCTTTAAAAAAAAACTAGCCCCTTGGATAAAAGCGTCTGCTAAATGACTAAATGTAAATGTAAAATAACACTGGCCTTAACTAGCCTAGATACCAGCACAAAATCACACTCTGCTAAATATTTCCACAATATGTGTGTGTTTTATAGTATTATGTGCGTGTTTTATAGTATTATATAGTATTCTTAATGGAAATGGGTAAAGGCTTGAACCAGAAACAGTTTTCCTTATGTCAAGACTTAACAAGCAGTAAAGGAGCTGTCGAGAGGCAAACAGAACACAACAGAGCAGGTTTTCTTCAGAGACAAATTATTCAAGCACTTTTGGAAAGACACTGAGACTCAATGTCTGCAACGGTCCTGATGGATGAAAGGCCAGATGTTTTTTAACCACGAGAAGCAAAGTCCAGTTGTAAATGAATGTACTCCTAACATTTGAGTCACAAACATTGGATAATTGGCCCCAAGGGGACCCTTCTGAACAGGTCTCAAAGGCCACTGTTGCAGTGGGACCGAGCCACAGAGTAAACCCAAACCGGTCATTACCAAGAACGTGAAGAAGCCAGGAACAATATGGAAAATTACCATCGCTGAATGCCTTAATACTAATGACTATCTTTGAGATTTACACAACAGCAGATTTCAAGCAAAGTAACCAGTAACCACCACAAAAGCAAACTTGAACGGGGATGCCTGGTAAATTTCAGTCATGTTTCAACCAAAAGACACTTTTGTTATTTTAAAAATACAACGACAGAATCTTTGATGATGTATCATATATCAAGTGTTACACATCAACCCTCGTGGTGAAATGCAAAAAGGCGAGTACAATAACACAACAAACATGCAGAAGTGTACAGCAGAATATTCATTGTGATGCATCATGAAAACATTTTATGTAAGACTAAGTCCAAAAAAGCAAATCAAATCATTTTTTTGTAGGTTTCTGTCTACATAATTTAAATATTCTCACCTTCTTTAAATTAATCATTACAAGTTTTGTGAGAATAATAACAGAAAATCACATATAACAGCAGCTTTCAGCAGATGCCAATTCTTATTTTCAAAGTATTCATTTGGAAATTCTTTTGGATGGATTTTGTATACATTGCAATGTTTCATGATGTTATCAATAGAATTCCGGTAACTATACAGCCAAAAGAAACACAAAGTTCAAATTCCAACAATATGGCTAAATTAAAGTCAGAATTCTTTGTATACTGTATGTTAGTGTTAAATGATTAAAATAAAAATACATTTGAACAAATGTCACAATCATGCCTTTGTATTCACTTTGTAGTCTTACACACATGGCTACTCCATGACTTGTCTACAGCATGTTAAAGAGACTGAATATACTAATGAAGTGCCATTAAACTTTCACAAAGGACTTTCGAGAACTAGCACTTAAAACATCAGCCAAGACTCAACTCACTTAACCTTAACTGGCTTTCTTGACAGATCTTTGAATGAATGTGAGACCAAGAAAGACAGCAAAAAACAGAGAGCGTCTTCGAAAGATCAGTCAAAAGTGTGCTTGTGAAAAAGAAGTAAAACCTGTTAATTTATGTCAATACTGATTGCCATCAAGTAGATATGAGGAAGTAAATGATTGCTTTTTAATCTGATTTCATGCAAGTTCAATATTTACTCTCCAGTATTATACGCTGATAATTCTGACTTACGATCAGTGTGTAAATTACAGTGTGGGTGTAAAATTGCATGAGAATGTTTATCAAAAACAGCAGGGAGTGTGAAGGAGAGGTTAACCGCACCATGCTGATGTCGGCTGTGTTATGCTGACTACGCTTATGCATGTGGTTTGGAGAGACAGAGGAAATATGATCCTCACTGACTTATTGATAATATATGAGGGCCACCGAAAGGCAAGGTGAGCTTTTGTAGAACAGCACACACGTCTGATCAGCTGACAACTCAACTGCTGTCAAATAGCCCATGTATATAATAATTATAAATAATAATATAATATTTATTACATTTATATATAATTACAGTCTCAACAAAGTTAAATTATATAGCACATTAAACCTGAGGTGTGTCATTTCTGTGCCACTAGCATCACTAAATGAAATTACAAAAATAAAATAGCAAAAAAGAGTCACTTATTGGTACCAGAATATCACAACTTGGACTAATACATAACCACAAACTTGCACAGTAGCAGCGACTTTTTTTTTACCTTACAATTCTAATTTTTTTTCCCTCACAATTCTGAGTTTAGATCTTGCAATTCTGAGATATAAACTCGCAACATACAGTATAAACTTGCAGAAAAGCAGTCTGAACTGGGAGATGTTATTGAGAAAAATAGAAAAACAGAATTGAGATTCAAACTCGGAAATTTGAGAAAAGGTCAGAATTGCACAATTCTTTTTTTTTCTTCTTAAAACTGGGTTCATACGTCACAATTCTGTGTATAAAGTCAACAAAATAAAAAAAATGTTTTAATAACATGCAATTGCAAGTCCAAATAAGTCCAAATTGTGAGATAAAATAAAAACATAAAAAAATATTTTTATTATTCTGTTGCAGAATTGGCTTTCCATGCATTCATGTTATTTTGGCTTTTAAAAAACTAAATCCTTAGCCCACCTAAAACCAGCATTAATATTGGAACAGGCAATCACATCTCAAAGCTGTGTGTCACAATAATACACTGATATGATTTCCAGCAGCAGCATTGTATCTCAGAAGAGATCCTTGTGGACTGCTGCTATTTCAGGAGACAAGATAAGTCATAGAGAAGAATGTCTGGTATTCAGTCTAAAGGGAGATTGTCTATATCCACTGGATCTGCATCAAGAAGGATCAGTAATCACTGAACAGGTCTTCAGGTCATGAATTTATGGATTGATCACAGCTCAGAGGTCACTCAAAGCTATGAGAGAAAAAATGGTTCTACAACGGAATCTCAGCGGCATTATTAAACCTGTCGCATACAAAGCAAAGCTTTGAGATCCATCCTGTGCCCAAACCAGCAAAAATAAGCATCTTAAATCAATATGATGCACGTTTATGATCATTAGGTAAGAAGTAGCACTGATGTCTTTAACAATTCCCTTTCAAAAGATTTGTGCCAAGATACAGTTTAACAAAAAATGTATATTTAAAAATTTTAATTTAATATATATTAATAAATGTATATAAAACAATGTTCAACAATTTTAATATGAGTATAAAACAGGGTATCAGTTTTCAACCCTCTGGTGCTCCTCATTTGGGAGTCACACTTGTGATTTTCACGGTCAAAAGTGACCGGACACCTGAAATTTAACTTTTTTTTCGCCCCAGTAAAATCAATGTAATATATTTTTATTTTGTATTTTGAGATAATTTCATGGCACTAATTCATATTTATGCAATAATTATGATGAATTTCTGCCCATTAAAAATAATAATTAAAAAAATTTAATATATTTTTATATTACTTTTCAATGAATGCAGTATTTCATGTTAAAATAGTCAATGCTTTTAAAATCCCATTTCTGAAGCCAGATTAGTGCCATCTGGTGGGAGTAAAATAAGAAAAACATCTGCAATTCCATGGTTTAGCCCAGGGCTGTCCAAACTCGGATTAGCTGGTTCAGGTGTGTTTAATTAGGGTTGGAGCTAAACTCTGCAGGACCGAG